TAACATTTACATATATATGTATATATGTTGTCCAAAATAATCGTAAAAACTTTTTTAATTAATTTTGTAAACTTTATCATGTGTTAATAATTAGAAACGATAATTAAGATACTAAAAAAAATTCACACCATTTTTGAAAAATATATTTAAATAATTTTATATAAAAATAAATTGATAAACTCATATTAATGCATTTTAATTTATACAAAATGTTTAGCTAACTGTGTCTACGATTTTTGGGACGTTTCCGATAATTTAGTGTAAAGATTTCAAAGGTGGTACTTGTTTCATGCAAGCTACAACTTGCAATAAAAAAATTAAAAATATTTTTTTTAATTTTAAATACTTCTAATAAATTTGAAAAATAGAATTATATATTTTTTAAATTTTAATTAATTATCTTGAATTTTTTTAATGCTGCAATGCAATTAGTTTTCATAATATTATAGAGGTTTTTAAAACAAACTTATATGGGGAATATGAATCTTATTGATTTTATTGATACACATAAACATAATCATAAATATCTATCAGTAAGAAAAAAACTCTCTTATTTAAAAAACGTTTAAACTGCTCGTTAGTTTTGAAACACAAAGTTCTACTCTTTTCCAAAAATTACTACGCGTGCTTATATAACACAGAGATCTCTCTCCAAGAGATGTCCTAAAGATGTCCAGGACATTTATATTATATGTTCTTCAAACGTCCTAAGGATGTTTTCAGAATGTTTCTCGAATAAATCTCGATATACTATATTGGATAGCAGTTTTTATATTATTTGGATCGAAAATTTCACAAGTTGTAATTATTCTTTCCCAAAGATCTTGAACATTATTTATACAGCTAATAAATATTACTAATTAAAATAATGTTACAAATTTGATATTAAACATCAATAAATTATATGCATTGAATTTGTTTTAAAGATCACTATAATATTACAAAAAAGTGCTTGGTGTTTAAAAAATTAATGGTAAATTTTTATTAAATTTTTTTTACAATTTTTTGCAAGTAGTTTAATGTTATAGTTTGCGTGAAACAAATAAAGATCCATCGATCTAATTTTCTTTAAACTGTTCGAAACGTCCGTAAACGTCGTTCGAAAAATCGTATGGAATGTTAAACATTCATATATTTATTTAGATATCTTAGTGTTTTGAATTTTTCCATTTATTACTAAATTATTTTTAATTCTGTAGAAAAGAATGACCATTGAGGAGGTAAAGGAAGCTCTAGTACCATTACACAAGCATTGCATTGATAAAGTGGGCACGGATCCAAGTATGTACTATAAAAAACTGCAGTCTTATGTAAAGTATTACAAATTTTTATGTAATGTGATCAAATATCAAAACCTTCAAATATTATATAATTATATTTAGATAATATATGTATATAACAATGTTTTTTAAAATTTAGATAAAGTTTAATAATACATAGTGTATTTAATATTTGACTAGTATTAGGATACATATAATAAATCAAATACCTGAAACTATAT